GCTTCGCCACACCCCTTCCCTCCCCCCTCCCCTTGCATCACAACAGACTTACCAGCTGCACGTAGCTCTCCAAGCTGCTGGGCTGTGCTCCTTGTTGCCTACATGCTGGGCTGCGGCTGCACGTTAACGCACGGGCATTTATTTATTCGTCAAATTATCAGCCACTTTATGCCAATTTCCAATACAGCTAATTTTTCTTTATATTGGTACCAATCTGATATTAGTTGTAAGATAATGAAAGAAAGAATAGTCCTATATGGAAGTAAAAGGCAATAGAGACAAAACAGAACATAATTTTATCTGAGGTGGATGGTCTCAGATTAATTTAATATCCCACTATAGTAAGATAGGACTTTTTCAATATGGAATGGATTTTATAAAAAAAAATTCTCCATATTCAGTAGTTAAGTTGGGCCTAAATTTTATATGGAAAGAACTTGTTTCTGACAAAAAAAAAAAGAAGAAAAAAAAGTATTCTGTACCAGGTTTAGCATTTTCTCAATTGAAAATTTATATTGGCTACATTTATTTCTCTGTTTCATCTTTGGCTTTCATAGCTCCGTTGACTTTTAACATGGAGAGTGGGGGGAGGAAAATTAAACTGATTTAACTTTTTTTTTTTAATTTTGGTTTTGCATTGTTTGCGAATAACTGAACTTTGTAACTTATTGCATGGAGTCTGACTTAGTACTAAGGAGAAGGGTAATAATTGTGTGTATGTGACCTGCATCTACCTACCATGGCTGGCAGAAAAAGAGAATTTTCAGTTTGGGGAGGGTGGTCTTAAACTTCCATAGCCAGCAACCAGTTTCCTTATTGGAAGAGCATCCCAATATTTTAATAATTAAAAACATATGTAAACTGTCATTTAGGCATTTATATTTTTATTTCACGGTAGCTGGCCTTGGCCGCTTTGAACTCTGTCCCTTTTTATATTTGGATCATGTTTTGTAAGCTCTTTTTGCACGTGTAGGAGTTATAGATTTCACTGTTAAATATAAAGCTTGCATTCTGAAGCACAGCTCTGTTTCAGAGTCTGCAGCTACAGAATACACAGGACTGAAGAATTTCAAGCAAACATTGTACGGTTTCAAATACATAAACATGATATCCTATCCATGTGATTACAAAATGAAATAATCTGTGTTGTGTGTTCTAGGTGGTGGAACTGCTAGCATTCCTGGAATTGAGAGGATGGCACCTGGCATTGACCGCATGGGCTCAGGGATAGAAAGAATACCTTCTGGGATGGGGCATGGGATGGAGAGAGTGGGGTCTGAAATGGACAGAATGGGTCTTGTTTTGGATCGCATGAGTTCTAATGTAGATCGTATGGGTTCAGGAATTGATCGAATGGCCCCTCTGGGCATAGATCACATTGCTCCCAATATTGATAGGATGGGTCCAGCTATTGAGAGAATGGGTTCAGGAATAGAAAGAATGGGTTCAGGAATAGGTTTTGGGATTGATAGAATGGGTACTGCTATTGATCGTGTTGGTACAACTATGGACAGGATGGGATCAGGTGTAGAACCCATGCGAACTGGCATGGATAGGATGGGTCTAAGTATGGATCGTATGGTACCTGCAGGAATGGGGACTGGAATGGGTCAAGTCCTAGATAGAATGCCAGCTGGATTGGATCGCATAGGAGCTACTCCTATGGAAAGAATAGGATTAGATCGTATGGCTGCTGCTCCTATGGACAGAATGGGATTAGATCGCATGGGTGCTACAAATATGGAAAGAATGGGGCCTGCTATGGGACAGGGAATGGGAGCAGGTATAGATCGAATGGGACTTGCAATGGGAAGCAATTTTGAAAGAACAATGGATATGGATCGTGGAAACTTCGCAGGCAATTTTGCAGGCTCTCTTGGAGGAACTGGAGGACCTGCAGCTGGCGTAGCCAGAAAAGCCTGTCAAATATTTGTGAGAAACGTGAGTAAAACTTCATAATTTGTCTTCAATCCAGAGAACTGTTATGGCTGAACATAAATACTAGTTTCACTGCACATTGTGATAGCCACATGTAGAATGTTTATGGGGCATTTGTAAGGTTTAATTTGTTTAAAGCATCACAGTGAAAAGTTATGCAGACCCTGCAAATCTTAAGCCAGTTCTCCAGAGTCTATTGGTTTCCACTATCTTTCTAATTCAAGGTGCTGCTCTTTACCTATGAAGTCCTGCTCAGCTAAGGGACCACGATGTTATGTTTCATTGTAATTCTTAATGTTAGCCAAGAGCAGCCTCCTGCAGCTATCATCTGTGGCTAGGTTTGCTTGGCAGAAATGGATAGGATCATAGGAAAGTAGGACAGAAACAAACCAAAAAAGTCATCTAGTCCAGCGCCCTGCTTGGGGCAGGATTAGCACCAACTAAAGCACCCCAACCAAACGTCTGTTCAACCTGCTGTTGAAATTTTCCAGGGATAGAAATTCCACTTCAGTCTGTAGTCTGTTCCAGTGCTTTGATTACCCCCCCCCCCCCCAAAGTCAGAGAATTTCTCCTAATCCCCAACCTAAATGTTCTCTGCTGTAGCTTCAAGCTGTTGCTCCTAGTGCTGTCCCTTATGGCCACAGAGAAAATCCCATCTCTATAAATCTCCATTTTAAGTATTTAAAGACTACTCATTGAGCACAGTGGTCCAACCAGTTGTATATCCATCTTAAAATACTTTCATCTAGTTTGCGTTTCCTTACCTTGTTGTGCAAGACTACCAGAAGCTGAGATGCATCCCACCCACTGCTCTCTTCCCTAGGCACATCAGCCTTTTCCCACAGCTCCACTGCTGGTACCTAGAAGGAGTTAAGCCAGGAAAAGTGTGCAGGAGTTCAGTCTCTTGGGAAAAACTGGTACAGGAACTTTTCTACTGGTTTTTGCCAAGTTGTTGTTTTGTTTCCTGGACAGGCTATTTTTGCTCCAGGAGAAAAAGCTTGAATGTCTGCACATTTCTGTTTTCTACCTGGAGTGTGGTGATTTTTGTGGTTGAAACCAAACAACTTTACCTGGCCTAAGTAATACTTAATCTATTCTGTTACTACTCAATGCTGTTTGTCTCCTTCCCTATTTTTGCTGCCATCTGTGCTTGTCATCTGGTAGCTACTTCTGTTTTTGAAGACCAAAGTAAAAATCCATTAAATATTTCAGCCTTCTCTTCATCTATTTATAACTGTGTTGCCTTCTATATTCTATAAGGGACCTATGGTTTCTTTGGTCTTTCTCTTAATTAAAAGGGATGCTATAAAATTTCCTTATGTCCCTTGCCTGTTGCATCTTGAATTGTGCCTACGACTTCCTGATTTTTCTCCCTGCAGACACAGTGCTCTTCCCTGATGATACAACCAAGTTTTAGTTTTTATTGGATTCCTTGCTGGTATCTTATTGCACTTCCCATTCTTCTATCACATTAGGATAGCATGCTCTTGTGCCCTTACTACAGCTTCTTTAAAGTAAAGCCAGCTGTCTTAGACTGCTTTTCTCCTCAGACTTGCCTCCCTGGAGATCCTGCCCATCAGATCCCAGAGTTTCTTGAAGTCTGCTTTTCTGAAGTCCAGTGTTATTTTTCCGCTCTTTTTCCTTCCTCCCCTTAGGCTCTTGATCTATTATCATTTTGTAACCACTCTCACCCAAGTTATCTTCCACCTTCACATTTATAACAAATTCTTCCGTTTTTTGTGAGCAGCAAGCAGAAGAGCTCCTCCTCCCCTCCTTTTGGCTTCTGTACCATCTGTATCAAAAAGTTAACCCCAGCATACTCTCCCTTGGCAAGAATTTGTTGGACTAATCGTGCACAGCTGTCCTAGCAAATGTCCCAATAATTAAAGTCCCACATGAGAACCAGATCCTGTGGATTTTTGTTGTGGCTTTTTTTGGGAAGCTTTTCAGTTGCTTAAAGGCCTCATCCACCTCTTCCTCCTGGTTTGGTGGGCTATAGCAAGAGACTACAGTGGCTTCCTTTCTGATGCTCTCAGCTCTGACATCTACTCAGAGCCTTTCAGCAGACCTACCTTCTTCATATTGCACCTCAGAAAACACACAGCTCCTTTTTTTCTTCTCTGCCTGTCCTTCCTGAACAAGTTGCATCCATCCACGACAGTATTGAATCATGTGAACTATCCTGCCACATCTCTGAATTCCCAATTACATCTCAATTCCTTGATTGTACCTCCAATTCCTCGTGTTTGTTTCCCATGCTTCTTAAATGAAACGTTTATGTACTTACGCACCTGATTTGTCTTGTCTTCTCCCTGGGAACATTGCTAAGGCTTCATAGATTTCATAGGGATTAGGGCTGGAAGGGACCTTACAAGATCATCGGGTCCAGCCCCCTGCCCAAGAGGCAGAAAGTCAGTGGAGGTCAACTGATCTTAGCAAGACAGGCATCCAAATGTTTCTTAAAAGTGTCCAGTGTAGGTGCTTGCACCACCTCTGGGGAGAGTCTATTCCAGGCCCTAGGGACTTGGATGGTAAAGTTTTTCCTTCTGTCCGGCCTAAAACAGTCTTCCAGGAGTTTGTGACCATTGGACCTTGTCTTCCCTTGGGATGCCCTGATGATTAGACTTTTTCCCAGTTCCTGATGCGCACCCCTTATGTACTTGTGCCACTAAGTCACCCCTGAGCCTGTGCTTTTCCAGGCTGAAGAGTCCCATCTCTCTCAGCGTGTCCTCATAAGGCCTGTTCTCTTGTCTTCTAATCATGGCTGTCCTCTGGACACTCAAGTTTCTCCACATCCTTTCTGAATTGCAGAGCCCAGAATTGGATGCAGTGTTCCAGCTGCAGCATCACGAAGGCAGAGTAAAGTGGGAGGATGACTTCCTGGGCCTTGCTTGAGATGCATCGGTAGATGCAAGCCAGGGTTTTGTTTGCTTTGCTGGCTGCAGCATTGCATTGGTGGCTCATGTTCATCTTGTGGTCAATCATGACCCCCAAGTCTTTGTCACGGTGCTAGCGAGTGTAGCACTGCGGAGCCTGTGAGTATGATGTGAGCTTTTTCTCCTGAGGTGGAGCACCTTTCATTTCTCCATGTTGAATGCCATCAGGTTTTGATCCGCCCACCTTGTGGCCTGCTGAGGTTGGCCTGAATCACCAACCTATCCTTTAGTGTGACCACACTTGTCCGTAACTTGTGTCGTCAGCAAACGTGGCCAGTTTGCTTCTGACACCAGAGTCCACATCATTTATGAATACCTTTAAAGAGTACAGGTCCAAGTATGGAGCCCTGGGACACACCACTGGTCATCATGCGCCATGTTGATTTGGTTCCAGCGACTAACACTCTCTGGGTCCAACCATGGAGCCAGTTCCCCAGCCATCAGACCATAAGGTTGTTGAGGCTGCAGTTCCCAGTTTTACCACTAGGACATCATGGGACACCAGGTCAAAGGCTTTTCTTATGTCCAAATATATGATATCAACGTCTTCTCCTTTGTCCAGGTGATGTATCACCTGGTCATAGAAGGAAATGAGATTGGTCAGGCTTCTGCTATTGTATCCCCTTACTAATTTTTTCTCCAGGTCTCATAGCACTTTACTTGCCTCTGGGCTTTTGTCTCCATCCTATGTTGAACCTAGTTTAAAGCTTTCCTCATAGATTAGCAAGTCTGTACATGAAGACACTCTGCCCTGTCTTTGTCAGTTGGACCCCATGTCTTCCTAGTATTCCTTCCTGGAATATCACCCCGTAATCAAAGAAGCGAAAGCACAGCTGGTGACACCATATATGCAGACATATGTTGATCTTTGAGATGTATCTGCTCCTAACTAGCTTTGGCCATCCCCTTGAAACCAGAGCCATTTAGCCACTTTTGATATGTTCAAGGTGGCCCTTGGCAGCATTGTTAGTGTGAATGATTAGCATGGGATAGTGGTCAGAGGGCTGGATAAGTCTTTGCTACCTTTCTGTGACATCTGATTCACATTCCTGGCAAGCAGCACACCTCCCATTTGTCAGCTTTCCTATTGACTTGGATGCCTGCATGTACCACAGGGGGGAATCACCAACAACTACCATCCTGTGCTGCTTGGCAACAGTGGTCTTGATCCTCCCACTCCTAGGGGTACATGGTTTTGGCCTTTCTTGCCACTGGAGTGGCTCCTTCCCATCCAATGCCAGGGCTTCATATCTATTCTCCAGCTAGACAGCTACAGAGTCAGAAGAGGAGTGCTGTCTGTTGCCAGAGGTGATGAGCTGCCAGCTTCTATCTTCTGGGGTATCTTTACTTTGTCTTCCAGTGCCCTCTCCAGCTGCCCTTCTTCCAGTGTCGTCTGTGACTGCCTCTCTTCCACAATGCTGGTGGCTTCTTTTGCACATTGAATTGATGAAGGTCTTGTGTTTGCATCCATGTGCTCTTGCATCTCCCTTATCATATTTCTGAGAGAATATACCAGGAAGCACCTCTCGCATCACAGGCACTCTGTCCTGGCTCTCCCTGGCAGAGATATGCGAGCCACAGTCCCTGTAAAGCCAAGCCAGAACCTGGGAGGGAGCCTTAATGGTTGGTGGCTGTGCCTAGACTGAAGCTGCACAAGTGCAGGTAGAGGAGGAGCTGGCAGTTGGCATTGCCTCTAGGCTTTGGCATTGCATAGCCTTCCAGCCATCCGTTTGATTCTCGTGCTAGCTCCTTCCTCTGATGCTGCAACTTTCTGAAGAAATCCCTGTTCCTCTTCTTCCTTCCACTGAGCAAGCTTAGAACAAAGTGTCTAGGTAACTCACCACTCAGTTTTTTCCTGTTTACTGGTCCTGGTATCCCTTGGTCATTCCTGGCAGTACCTTTTCAGCTTTGAAACTCCCTTCCCCCTCATGCCTGTCAAGAGCCCAAGCCTGGACATCTTTTGGGAGGAGCATAATACCATATTTGGGTAGGATTAAAGATTGGGGTGTTGTCTGGGAAATTGTTCTGTCACTTATTTTATCTGTCATTTATCACCTGTTTTAACTGTAAGCTGCCTTGAACCTTTTTTTTGGGAGGGTGGCATAGAAATAAAATAAATAAGCAAATTTTGATTCGGGAGAGATACTCTGCAGCTAAGTGCAAGCAGTGATAAG